CTGCTAGGCAAGGTGCAACCCGAAGACGATCCAAGAGGATTCCAAGAAATGCTGGAAGGCGATCCAACACTTCTCTTGACAACATACACTTGGCACTCGACTTCACCACGGATAGGTAGGCACTGAGCCCTTCCGCACTCACCACCTCGAAGCAACACCCTCGGATAGCAAGGTTGTCGGCAGGTTAGGTTATACGCGGGCTTTTTCGGGCGGGAAAATGGGGATGATCCTAACGTTGCCGACGCGTCCTGGCGCTTAACCTATTCTCCGCGTCTGTTCTAAGTTATCGTCTTTATATTCTCTTGTATTTTTCTTCACTTTTTTCTCTCTTTGTATTTTTCTATGCATGTGGAATGATTTGGTGTAATAGCGTGTGGTCAAGATTTCTGCATTTAAAGTTTCAAAACCCTGTATGGTCACATTTCGCCCGATATGGCAACCGAGGCCTCCTGCCCAGTCCCGGGAACGCCCATCAGCCGTGACATGCCCAATCGTGACGACCTGCAACGTGAGATAATACACACATACAAGCATACAGTAAACAGAACACATCATGGAGATACTAAGACTAAGACACAATCGCCATAACCACGTTCGAAACACAACACGCATTGCCTACCTTTCGAAAAATGAAAACAATTCAGAGATATAAAAGCGAGCATACACTTACAGACATGCTTATCAGCCATGCATGCCGGGAAAATCCCTTCTTTTCCTCTCTCGCCCCATTTCCCCTGAACAGCTTGAGAGGCGGAGGCAGAGGAAGCCCTCCCTTCGTTTATCAGAATTCCCGCTCCCTCTCGTTCTACGGAAGGAGCTTCCCGAGAAGAGAGGATTGGCGAGTTGCTTTGGCCTTTGGGAGAATAAAGCGGCTGCGGGGTACGTTCCTTCTGGGAAAGTTATCGTGGAGACAAGATTCTGTGGCTATGTTGACATTTCCGTTTGGTGATGCGCTGGCAATGCTTTTCAGCTGGAAATCGTTCGAGTTGTTACTTGGGTGTACTTAGGATTTTATTATCTGACATTAGTATTATATGTTCTAATAATCCTATTTTGTGAATAACGGTTTATTTTTTCACTAATTGTTTTGCCGTCCGTTTAACTGTGGCTAGGTAGCACTTACGATCATCTGAAAATAATAATAAAAAGAAATGTGACGTTATTTCTCTGCGTGCCGCTTCCTAGTGTCTAAAAAAACAACACCACCTGTATTAGAATCATCTACGAAAGGAAATGATAATAGTGGTAAAAATCCCTCGCAACATATTCCTCATATCGAGACAGAATAATTCTCATTCTCCCTACAGAGGCGCGCGGGAAAAATTACCTAGAGCATTTTGAAACCGGGAGGAAGAACGTTGCAGTCCTTGGGGCTTCAACTGCAAAGTAGATCATTAAAACGGAAGAAAGCCTCGCCTGTATCTCTGATTTGCAGAAACTAAGACCCCCGCGGACATATTTTCTTTTTTCTTTCTCCATTCTTGCACGATACTGTTAAAAAAATAAAAAAGCAATTCCACCATTTCTTCACCAGAGGCTTTATTTCGAACTTGGAAGCGAAAGAAAGAAGGTATTTGTTATTCCCGATGGATTCTTGATATCGAGAGAGGAAGATTTTGAATAATGATAATAGGATTTATATATATGAAAAAATATGATAACAGGTAGTATTACAGAGATCTTCCTATCCAATGTTCTTCTAATAAATATTGGTTTTATTCATTTTAATCGTCTTTTCTTTTTTTTATGTCTAAAGATCATAAAATACATGGTTTTCTGTAAACTATTATACATTATTATCTTTTAAGATCATTATTCTTATACGATATAGATGGATCTACTATGGCAAAATTGATATCATGGGGCATTTTTTCCCATATTTATTGTCCGCAATGGAAATAGATTATGAAAAATAGTACCTAAATTATTCCTAATTTATGCAAGATCATCCTGGCATTCATTATGAAAATAATCTGATTGATGATAATAATGAGATAATGAGCATGATGACATAAAAAATAACCGTAATTATCGTCATTAGAATTCACAATACAAAGTTAGCGTCATTATATACAATAATCATCACAATTACCATACAAATCACATAAGAAAAAAAAGTGAACACTCGAACTTAGTTCAAAAAAGAAAAAAAAATCAAGCACATTAGTAATATTGAAACATATCCGACATGCGTTATGCCACGTGACGGAAAACAGTGACGTCACATAGTTTCCTCGCGTGGGGGTCTGGGAGGAGGGGTGCGGGGGGGGGGGGGGTGAGTTCTTGTAAGTATGCGTGTGGGTGAAAGTCCGGAAAGACCACTTGGAAATGTCATGGTGGACTTTTTCGTATTTCTCTGTTCATCCGTTACTGTCATTTTCATTATTATTTTCGTTATTCTTATCATTATAATTAGTAGTAATGATGGTATTGTTATCATCATTGGTATTATTCTTATGATCATTCATTATTATTTTTTGTATCATGATCATTATCATCACATTTATTTCACTATTATGATTATCATTATTATTATCATTGTTATTGTTATTACTATCATCATCATCATTAATATTATTACTACTACTATAATTATCACCATTATAATTTCTATTATTACTGCTACTATTATTATCAATATTATTACTATCATTACTATAATCATTACTATTGTTTTCATATCTTTATCATTATTATTATTGTTGTTGTCATTATCATTAGTCGTAATAGTAGTAGTAGTAACATTATTATCATCATTATCATTACTACTTTATTACTGTTATTGTTGCTGTTATTAGAATTATGATAGTAATACTAGTTATTGTTATTATCATTATTTTTTTTAATGATCATCGTCATCTTTATTATCATCATCATCATTATCGTTATTATTATTATCATTATTATCATTATTATTATTATTAATATTATTATTATTATTATTATTATTATCATTATCATTATTATTATTATTATTATTATTATTATTATCATTATTATTATTATTATTATTATCATTATTATTATAATTGTAATTATTATCATCGTTATTATTATCATTATTGTTATTATTATTATTATCATCATTATTGATATCATCATCATAATCATTATCCTTTTCTTCATTGTTGTTATTATCATCTTATTTACACCATTGTTATTATTATTATACTTACGAATATTATCATTATCAAAATCATTTTCATTAAATACAATAATGATTATTATTACCTTTATTATTGCCATCATTATCAATACTATCCTTATCCTTATCCTTATCATTATATTATTATCATTATTATTATTATTTATCATTATTTTATTATCATTATTTATTATCATTATTGTTATCATTATATCATTATTGTTGTTATTATTATTATTATTATTATTATTATTTATTATTATTATTATTATTATTATTATTATTATTATCATTATTATTATTATTATTATTATTATTATTATTATCATCATTATCACCATCATTACTATTGTCCTTATCATTACTATTATCATTATCATTATTATTATCATAATCATTGTCATGCTCATATTCAATATTTCATTATTGTTATAGATGTTATTAGCATCACTTTTATCATTATTTTTTTCATTATTATTATTATCATTATCATCATCACAATTACTATTCTGTTATTATCATAGTCATCATTATTACTACTATTATCATTACTTTATCATTATAATCATTTTCATTATTATTATAATTTTCATCATTATGATTATCTTCATCATCATTATCATTATTATTATTATTATTATTATTATTATTATTATTATTATTATTATTATTATTATTATTATTATTATTATTATTATTATTATTATTATTATTATTATTATTATTATCATTATGATTATCATTATTTTTACTGTTATCATTATCATCATTATTGTTATTACTATTATTATTACTATTATTATTAATATCATCATCATCATCATCATCATCATCATCATCATCATCATCATCATCATCATCATCATCATCATCATCATCATCATCATCATCATCATCATCATCATCATCATTATTATTATTATTATTATTATTATTACTATCATTATCATCATTGATATCATCATAGATATTGTTATTGTTATTGTTATCATAATTATAATAATAGTTATTATTATTATTATTATTATTATTATTATCATTATTATTATTGTTATCATTATTATCATTATTATCATTATTATTATTATCATTATTATCATTATTATTGTTATTATTATTATTATTATTATTATTATTATTATTATTATTATTATTATTTATCATTATTATTATCATCATTATTATTATTATTATTATATTATTATTATTATTATTATTATTATTATTATTATTATTATTATTATTATTATTCTCATTAATATTATTATCATTGTTGTTGTTGATGTTACTATGACTATTACTCCCATCATCTTTATCAATATTATTATCATAACTATTCTATTAATCATTATCATTATCATATCATATGCTCATTATCATTTCTATCGTAATCATCATCATTTCATTACTATCATTATCCTTATTATTATTATTATCCTTATCATTATTATTATTATCATCATCATTATTATTATCCTTATCATTATTATTATTATTATTATCATTACTATTACTATCATTTTTATTATTATCATCATCATCATCATCATTATCATTAGTGCAATCATTATTACTCATTTCATCATTATTATCGTTATTATTATTTTCGTCATTTTCGTTATCGTTATTGTTATCATTATTAATCTTTTCATCATCATTATAATTATCGTTATTACAATTACTATTTCTTATCACCATCGTTATTATTACTATTATCATCATTATCATCATCATTATTATTATTACTGTTATTAAAACTAATATTGCTACTTCTGTTACCATTACTACAACTATTAGTACTGTCATCATTATCATTATCATCAATCATCATTGTGATCCTTCTTATCACCGAAAATATAAGCAATACCATCATTATAATCATCATGATAATTATCAGTGTACTAAATAGTCTCATCATTATCATCATTCTTCTCACCGTCATTAAACACACACACACACACACACACACACACACACACACACACACACACACACACACACACACACACACACACACACACACACACACACACACACACACACACACACACACACACACACACACACACACACACATGAGAGGGAAGAATCAGACACTGAAACCACCTCCAATGTTGTCTACACCGGATATGAGTTTAATAGACCGAGGTCAATTATCTGCAGACGTGATATACATAAAGCAGAAACGAAAGTGCGTAATTAACCCGTGCGAGATGAGGATTCGGACACGGGACGCGAGAAAACCGGAGTTAATGAGGAGAGAAAGCGCGTTTGAAGCGACCGTCGTCCGTCAACGGGTTGGGACGCGCGGCCATGACACCTGTCACGCGGGAGACCCTAAGATAAAATAACGACTCATTCATACCCGCTTATAAGAACTATCTGGCGAGGCGCTGTTCTGATTCGGGTATGTTGGGTATTCGACCTGGAGGAATGGATTTGGATTAGGTTGAGTTACCCCTCTGAAAAAAGGAGAAAAGGATCGAACGATGAGCGAAGAAAACGAACGTTGATGTGCGCGTGTGGGCGAGCGTGTGTACACTGGCGGCTCCTGTGTCAGGGTGTCCCCGAAACCCGCCACGGACGCGCGGGCTGTCATCGCACACGGAACTCCTCCTCGCCATCCTTCAGGGTCTCTCGAAATGTATGTCCGTTAGAGGTTAGGGTCTGCTTGACCTTTGAACCACTTG